CGAGCCAGCTCCGCCGCCGTCGCACGACGGCGGGGTTGCCGTCCGGGATCGCCTCATCGGTTCTACTCCGGGTAAGCAGTTGATCATTTTTTTTCGCCGTATTTTGTAGTGACGACTTTATTGTTCCCGGAATGTCTTATTCGTTATTGTTGTGATGAATTTAAAAACTCTTTGCCTGTTTCTACTTCACGGGGATAATAATGATGGGATTTAGGAAATATGCTGACAAAGATGTGAATGAGATTTATTGGGTCAGCAATGTTCAATTCTCATATTTGTTTTTGCTTCTTCAGAAAGCGGAAGATGATTTGATTTTGGCTGTTTGCAATGTTATGATGTTGCGAATGAACTTGAAGTAGTATTTCGCTTTTCTGTTTATATTTTCTGGTTTGGAATGGAGCGTTTCGTTTGATTTAATTTTCTAGGTTTGTTGGGCTGTTTACCTTTTCATGGAAAGATATTTACCCATTCAAAGTTTCCAGTTGTTTATATCCTGCAAATTGATAGACAGATTGTTGTAATTAATTGAAAATTTGAGTTTGCATGCAATGTTTCTACAAACGTGGCTACAAAACAAGTCAATGTGTGTTTGTTAAAATGTTTCAATCTAGAAACCCTATAGATCTGACTCAATTTCCTTTTGAGTCCAGGATAATTGAGTATTTACAATTATTTGTGCAATATATATGCATAACTTTTATAAAAAAAATTTGCCAGCAATTAACTAATTTTTATGATGATTGTAAGTTTTCTAATGATTTGAACATGAGGGATGTGGGTTATATATTAGATGATAATCGATAATGGTGTGCTTGAATCCGGAAAGATTCTTGCATGACCCTTTAAACAAAGCGGCATTTATAAGCATACTACCCAATTCTTATGTATTTACATATCTAACACTTAAACTCTACTTTTTACATTTATAACTCCCAAATATTTCAGATATCTTAAAAAATATAACCATTTTAATTTTTATAAAGTGAAATACACCTTTTCATGTACAGGTAAAGTGGCATATATGTAGTTGAAGTTTAGGTGCTAGATATATAAATACATAGGAATGAAGTGGTATGAATGTCAATCTTTCAATAATTAAACGCAAGAATGCATGATCATGCAAAATTATACAAAGTATTGGACTAAACTCATAGAAATTATATGGAATTCAAGCACTAGAATAGTTTTCAATGCATTTGATTTAATTCTATTGCACAAAACTCCAACCAATATCTCAAATTCTTCTCAACCACTCTTCTCATAAGCTTGAATTCAATATTATTTTACAATTTTACATTTCCTGTTCCCAAAACTATTTTTGTATTTTAAAATTTGAACAGTAAATTTGAACAGTGATAAGGCTTTTTGAAGCTACCAACTTTAGAATTTTAATGGTGCTTATAAATGTTAAATTCAGGCATGAAGATAAACTTTTTTGGCATCATAAAATTTTCAGGTTTAGCTTTATTTTGATTTTATTTGTTTGGTTGGATATGAATTTCTTTGAGTGTAATATCAATCTTAGGGGTATTTTCTTACTTTGTTCCTTTTAATTCATAATTTTTGTTCGTTTATTTATTTATTTATTTATTTTGCGGTGTAAACTTTAATTATCTAGTGTTATTTTTTTGCAATTTTTAATTTTTTGCTGATTTTTTTTGGTTTAATCAATCATTAAATTATTATTTGGTTTAATTTGTCATATTTTTTGTTTTACATCAAAATAAGATGAATTTTTACTTGATGTTTTGTGTGGTTTTATAAATGGTATCATTTAGAAATTAGGAACCCTACACCCTAAAAGCTTATGCATCAATAGCCTTGGGATTGTTTGGTCTTGCAACATTGGAAGGACTTGAAGACTCGTGACTAAATAAATTTGGGAAATTTACATATGTTGCGCACAATTCTTCTGTAATTACATATCTAAATATGAAAGTTTTGGGTTGAGATATGTAAATACATAAGAATTGTCTGATACATATGTAAATTTACCAGTATTTTTAATGCCACAGTTATCCACTTTGTTAATGAAATTCATGGAGGCCTATCTATACTGACATTAATTTGCAAGCAACATTCTATCCCTTGGTCTGCTGATTTGAGCTCTAATTTTTATTGCATCATATTCCTTTCATTTACATTCTATATGTTTAATATTTCAGAGGATATCTTAGAGAAAAAGGTCGAAAGTAATATTCTCGAAGAACGTGATCCAGAATTCGATGCCATGCTTCAAAAGATGGTTGGAACAATCAGATCAAAACCTGGAGGAAAGCTGGAAATGGGTGAGGTGAGGAAATAATTTTTTTTTATTAAGCATGGACACAATAGTTTATGAAATGTGCGAGGGGCATTTACATTCATGTCACCCATTTCCTATGTATTTACATACCAAACCCCTAAACTCCACTTCTATTTGTATGCCACACAAATCTTTCATATCACATAAAAAATACCACTGTTTTAACTTATAAAAAATGAAATACACTTATTTCATGTATGTGGCATTATATATATGTATGTATGTATGTAAAATTGAAGTTTATGTGTTGACATGTAAATGCATAAGAATTGAGTGGTATTTGTGTAAACCTTCCAATACACAAAGGGAGCATTTAGATACACAGCACCCAATTTCTATGGCACCCATTTCCTATATATTTACATATCCAACACCTAAACTTTGCTTTTTATATTTATACCACCAAAATTTTTCATATGACATAAAAGAATGACCATTTTAACTTTTAAAGAGTGAAATATAGCTTCTCATGTAAAGGTAAGGTGATACGCATGTAAGAATTGAAGTTTATGTGTTAGATATGTAAATACATAAGAATTGAGTGGTATTTATGTACATCTTCCAATACACAAGTACTTTTTTAACTCGGTTGTCACTTTCATCATCATATTTTTCTTGTGGACATAAAAAATTGTGAATATCACCACAAAATTATACATAATATACATTTTAGAGAAAAGTGCTTTCGGTGTTCGCAAAAAAGACCCAAAGGAAAGAAATGGTGAAGTTCCTATAAAATAGCCAGCATACAATTGTTACATGCCTGAAACATATCAACCATACATGTTTTTTGTTTTTTTCGTACAAACTAGAGAAAAGGTTTTATTTAATAGCAAGATTTACATGCATACCACTCAATTCTTATTCTTATGTATTTACATGTGTATTTACATGTCTAACATCTAAACTTAAATTTTTACATATATGCCACCTCAATTATGCGTAAAAAGTTGTATTTCGCTTTTTAAAAGTTAAAATAATGTATTTTTGATGTGATATGAAAAATTTACATGTTATGAATGTAAAAACTAAAGTTTAGGTGTTAGATATGTAAATATATAGGAATTAGGCGGTTCTCGTTCAGTTCTAAGCTTTGAGTCCAAGCATGCCACGTCTTAGAACTTATTTGTATTTACCGAATTATAGCTTGTTATGATTGTTGCATTGTAGGATTAGGGAGTCAGCAAATCAAGCTTATGCGACCTTGGCCTATGTTCAAGCTCGGATCATTTGATTTAGCTCTATTCAAGCTTGGCTCATGTTCAATTCTCCTCGGTTCGGTTTAGGATCATTAGGCTTATGTTGGGCTTGAAATATATGATATTGTAACTTTTAAATTTTGGGCATTTACATACATAGCACACAATTCTTATGTATTTACATATCTAACACCGAAACATTCATATTTACGACACACCACTCGAATCTTTGACATCACATAAAAAATACCACCATGACTATCCTTTTTAAAGTGAAATACAACTTTTGATGCATAGGTTTATGAAACCTATGTGTCATGAGTGTAAATATCAAATTTTGGGTGTTAAATATATAAACACAAGAATTGTGTGGTATTTATGTAAGCTCCCCTAATTTTTATCTGTAGTGCTTAAATCTCAGCCATAAGAGTGATGTTACACGCGCCTACACGCAGGATCAAACACATGTCTATTGGTGTTTGGCTTGTTAAGATTATGAGTATAAAACAAATATTTAAGCTCGGCCTGCATTCTTAACAATCGAGTCAATACCGAGCTTCTTCTTGAGCCAAATAGTGCCATTTACGCACGATGATCTTTTTCAAAGTTGAATATAGAATCACGATCTTTTAACTTAGAGTTACCTCATTTCTCAATCCTTCATCACAAACTAACCCTCGTAGTCTACTGCATAACAATTTGTTCTTCTACAACATTCGCATTCTTCATCTATATTTTGGGGCATTTACATACATTCCACCCAATTCGTACTTATTTTCATATCTAACATCTAAACTTTACCTTTTTTTTACATTTATACCTCATAAATCTTTCTTCTCACATAAAAAAATACCACAATTTTAACTTCTAAAAGGTGTAAAGTGTCAAAATAGTCCCTGGACTATCTACATTGGACAATTTTAGCCCAAGTGTCTACAGAAGTTTCAAATTAGTCCGTATCCTCTTATAATATGACCTAAAATATAGTACAAAAAAAAGATTATTTTATCCGCCATTAAAAGAATATAGGAATTGAATTGACCTTTTGTAAACTAGTCAGGGAACCATTTTGACACTTCCTCTTTTAAAAAGTGATGCAGCTTTTTATGCATAGCTAGTATATGTGAAAGTTAAAAGTTTAGGTGTCAGATATGTAAATACATAAGAACTGTTTGGTGTGTATGCAAATCTTACTAATACAAACAAAATCTTTTCTGAATTGCAGGCTTTCATAGTTCAAAAGTACAAAAGACCGTTGCCGAAAGTCCGGAGCTCAGTAGAACAAGTTGGAAGCCATGATCAGAAACCTTTGCTTCCGGGAACCCTAACTGTCGCCCAGTTGCAGGAAATACTGCTTCTGCATCAGGGAAAATCTGGCGAGCAGAAAGGTCCAATAGATTTTCAAGAAATTGCAAAAAAATTTGGAGTTGATTCCGCACAGGTGGAGCAAATATTTCAGTTCATATCTTTGCATCCAGAAAATGAGAAAAATGATTCCAAAAAATCAAACTGATTCTGATGATATAATTTCAATGGTTTCATTTTTGGAGGATTTACATACACACCACTTAATTCCTATGTATTTGCATATCAAACACCTAAGCTTCAATTTTTACATACATACCACCTTACCCATACATGAAAAGATGTATGTCACTTTTGAAAAGTTAAAATGATGGTATTTATTATGTGCTATGCAAGAATGGGTGGCATAAATGTAAAAAAGCAAAACTTAAAAGTTCTAGGTATGCAAATAAATGAAATTAGGCAGCATGTATGCAAATACCACTTCATTTTTTAAGGTTTCAGTGTAGCTATTAGCTCAATATATCCATCAATTATCCTCATATGATGTTTTCTTATTGAGGGCAGAGTAAGGAATAGGTGTCTATTATCAACGGATGTAATAATAAATTTCTTTGATTGAATTTTGGGTGATATAAATTAATATATATATATATATATGAGGTGAGGAACAGTTTGGAAGAAATGTGATCTACTTTGTGCTTCTGGGAAGTGTGAAATTAATTTATTAGTTTTTCGTTTCATTTATTTCTGAGAATGTATGTTGTGGTTTGTTTGTATCTGTTACAATTGTTTGTAAAACTGAAAAAAATATTGCGTCTGTTTCCGGGCGAGAGTTGGTCCGGACAACAAATACGATACATGGAAGAGAAAAAAAAAAGGAAAAAAAAAATAGACTTCGTTGTATCGCAGCCGTGTTGTCCGGACTCGGCTTACATCCGGACAACGGACGTAATATTTTCTCATAAAATTGGTAATGAAAATGTGGTGACATTAATAGCTTTTGAAAGTTATGTGTGTTTTAACGTGATGCATTTGAATTTTATGTTTAATATGATTGTATTCGTTGTATAAATTATTGTATAACATGTACAATTTTGTTATATATGAAGTCTAGATGCATCGGGATAAAGCCCATAATATTTTCTTGCTGATAAGGGTTGCAAATATACGGTCATTTGCATGCATACCACTCAATTTATGCTTTTTTACATGTATATCATCTAGGTCTTTCCTGTCACGTAAAAAAAAATTATATTTTAACTTCTAAAAAGTGATGCACATTTCCATTCGTATATATATAAAAATTGAAGTTTGTGTTTGATGTCTAAATGCATAAGAGATATAGAGAGAGAGAGAGACACACACACACACAAATAATTTAATAAATAGCAACACTTTATTAGGCTAGTCTCAAGTATATAAAAAAATAAGTAATTTAATAAATAGCAACACTTTATTAGGCTAGTCTCAAGTATATAAAAAAATAGGTGGTTCTTGAATTCATCGTTTTCGGCTTGTGAAGTAATTTGTGTTCGAATCATTCGTTAAAATTTTTCTAAATAAAATGCGAAATGGTTTGTGTTCGAATCATTCAGACAAACGGACAGTTTTTTTTTTCTAAATTGAATTTATTTTTGAGAAAAATATAGCACATGACAATGAGTAACTCTTCGCATTTTCTCCAATAAATTTGCAAATATGAACCCAATATAAAAATAAATAAATATAATAAATAGATAAAAAAAGAACCACTCAAATCTTGACCTGAAACAGTGTAAAAAATGCCTAAATTTGAACACAGCATGTGTAAATTACAAACCTACATAGCTTAATATTGACAATAATCTGAACAAATAATTTAAATTCAATGGTTCTATAACACTATAATATACACACTATCTTACATTATATAAGAATATTATAGTGATATGGTTTAAGGACAAGCAATCTGTCTCCTCTTTGAGAGCCTCTCCAAATTTTCAGAAACCATCTCTGTAAGCCTCTTGTCCTCAAATTTAATTTCTGAACTCAGCCTGCAAAACAACGAAACAAATTAAATTTCTTATGTATTTACATATCTAACCCCCACACTTTGCTTCTTGCATTTCTACCATCTACATCTTGAAAAAATATTACATCAGGACTCCAGATGCATTCAAGAGTTTAATGGCGGGACGCCACGTGTCAAGCGGGCCCCACCATTCTTAACATTGGCCAATGCCAGTGTATTGTGGGGAGGCTCGCTTGACATGTGGCGCCCCACTATTGAACTCCTAACGCAAACTACATTAGGAGACTTGATGTAATATTATCTCCTACATTTTTCAGGTAAAAGTAAAGGCATAGGAATTGGGTGGCTGTATGTATGTAAATGCCCCAAAACAATAACAGAAATTGGATAAAAAAGAAGTACTTTGGATCAAGTGCGATCTTATGAATTTCTCTGACGGCAGAACTGGCAGCATATAAAGACATTTTCTCCACCTGCAACAAATGATAAAATGAGTGAAAAGAAAAAGATTTATTGAAATAAAAATGTAAATAAAAAAAGTTCAATGTAATTTACCTCCAGCATTTTAAGCTTGGCTTCATGGTCGGGTGGAAGGCAACGGATCTCTTGAGCCATTCGAACAGACTCACTCAAGCTCTCAGGGGATAAAAAGTCAAAGGCTAACTGCACCGAAGACTGGTAGATTTTATAGAGAAGGATGAGTTTAGTAGAAAGTTAAAATATAGAATATGAACAGACATTTCACTGTAAAAATAGGGAATTTTACATATCTAGCACAAAATTTTATGTATTTGCATATCTCACATCTAAACTTTCATATTTACATACATAACACTTTGATGCTTTAAACATATACATGAAAATGTGTATTTCAATTTAAAAAACATGATAATAGTGCTATTTTTTATTTGATATTAAAGATTTGAGTGATATGTGGGTAAATATGAAAGGTTAGGCGTGATATATGTAAAAATGTTAGAATTGTGTGCTATGTATGTAAATTCCCCTAAAAAATATCACTAAAAATAAATAAGGTTCAAAAAACATGATAAATATTAAAATCACAAGTCTAAAGTGGTTGTTTGGTTAGCTGGAAAAAATATGCAGCAAAAAAGAATAGTGAAATTGAAATACTTTGAAATTGTTTAGTTTCGTGGTAACGACAACAGACTGCAGTTAACAATGTATTTAGAAATCACCTGAAGCTACTGAATTCAGGATATGCCTGTTTTGAACTGCATGGTGAATTACAAAATCATCAAAATTTTACAATGCATTCCATTTTCATCCAACTATATGCCAAAATTTTGAAAACCATTGCATTTGATTTATTTTCCACACAAATGCTTACAGCCTAAAAGACTTGAGAAGTAGTCAGCACTATCAATATAGGCCAAGCGTGGTATGGGGCTAATTCTCATCCGTCGGATTATGTCAATCAGTTTCATTATTGCTTCGCCTACTGATTAAAAAATATTCAAAAATGACTATAGTTTACTTGAAACTTCTCTTCTAATTTGATATTGTTGAATCCTATTAGAATAATGGGTCCCATATACATACAACCAGTTAAAGATCTTATTTTTATAGAGAAAAAATAGAAAAAAGAGATGGGTATAAGATTCAGGAGTAGGGGTGTAAATGAGCCAAAAAGGCTCGAGCTTGGCTCATTAACGAGCTCACGAGCCCGAGCTTATCGAGTAACAAGCTCGAGCTCAAACTTGAGCTCGGCTTGTTGACTCATGAGTGTCGGCACTAAAAAAAAAAAAAATTGTTTGAGGGTCATCCGTAAGAAGTTGTCGGCAGCCAGAATTGAAATCTCATCGTAGAAAGACATTTAATTAACTTATATATATATATATATAGTTTTTAGAAAAATATGAAATCAAACTGACCTCATATTTTTCGCAGTTTAAATGAAAGAACATTCTACCTCAAATCATGTATCTATCCCGAGGGATAAACACAAGACTTGAGGATGAGACTCGATCAAATAAACTAAGAAAACATATGACATCCGTTTGGTCTGCGAAACCGTTTTATTTGCCGACAAGTTCCTTTATTTAATACAAAAAATTAACTATGGTTTATTTTAAGCTGGGTTCGAAAAAACTTCCTATAAGAGCAAGCCCCTATAGTTAGAAGAAATTATTAAAGTGTTTCATCCTGCCAATTTTATTTAATTAGGGCTTATATTTGCGCGACAGGGTCACACAAACCGCCTGGAAAACGAAATCGGACGAGGAGGTGTGAAAGGGGGAATGCTCGAACCTGGAACAATGTTGAGAAATCCAAATAAAGAGAAACTAGGGGAGACCACGGATCCTGAGAAAAACCTCAGTGACTTCCCAGTCTATCCTGGTTGCGCTAGACAAACAACCTCGAAACCCTATGGATCATTGTTTAATTTCTAGGAGAATAGATGGTTTTGCTGGGGAAGACATGTTTTGTTGTCGAAGATGGCCGTGTTGTCCACCGTGCTAGCTCCAAACTCCTTGTCATGACGAGTTTAAGTTTTCTAGGGTGTCCAGTTATAGTGTTAAATCAACGGTCATATGGTTGTAGTCTTACGAATGCCTAAAGAAAAGGTGGAGGACTTATGTTACGCTAGGCAGACAACCTCGTAATCCTATGGATTGTTGTTTAATTTCTAGGAAAAGGGATGGTTTTGCTGGGGAAGACATGTTCTGCTGTCGAAGATGATCGTGTCAGAACAAGTGTAACATGCTTTACAGTACGGTAGCAAGAACAAACCGTGCAATGCAAGAACAAACAGTAGAATGAATGGTTGTAGTCCTCTAAACATCATATGCAAAAAGGAAACATGCTTGAAGTTATATAATGTAAAGTGTGCGATGCATGAACAAACAATAGAATGCACGTAGAACAGTAGTAGGCAAAACAAGAGCAGTATAACATGCTATACGAGAAGAACAGTAGCAAGCAGAAACATGAATAATATAACATGTTGTACGGTACGATAGCAGATAGAAACAGAAATAGTATAACATGTTGTATAAAAAGAGCAATAGCAGGCAGAAACAGGAAAATTAACCGCTGTAAAATGTAAAGCAAATCTGTACGCCCGTGAGATCCGCTGTTCCTTAAGTATAGCAAACCTAAATGCATCTCAAAAAGCATCGCAAAAAGCGAAGTCTGAAAGAAACGTCGTCCAGAAAACCCGAGGAAAAGCGGAAAACTCGAGAAAATCAACGAAAAAGACTCAAATAAAAGAAAATCCTCAAAACTCCTGGGGAAATCCCAAAAGAAAGGAAAAGTAACACGTGTGTCCCGTCCCAAAACTTCGATAAAACAAAAAGAAGATTAAGATGAGGGGGATGAGATGAGGGGGACCTCAAGCACTCGTATGGGACTAGGCTCAGCTGTACATTTATTCTCGAGGGTCCATGAAGGCTACTCGGTCACACGAATGTATAGAACCTGTCACTCGTCTAGAAGGGTGTCTTGAACTTCACTCAGAGGGTTATTTCCCAGTCTAAACAGGTATTCGTCGGGTGAACAACCAGCTTTAAGGTATGTTTTATGTTTTTGACATACACACAAATTTTTAAACATGCAAAGAGGAGTTATCAACTTTTGTTTTGTTTGAAAATGGTTTATCAAAACTTATCTTCTTTTTTCTTTTTTTTTTTAAATTCCTTTGTTGTCCACAAATCGATTACGCTGTCAGGCGTAGGACGGCCAACATCCTGAGGAGGTTCGAGCCGACAACTGCTAGACTTATGTCGGTGAAGGATATCATATCATATTGTTCATCAAATGTCTGGATCTTGATGTTATATGATAGGACATTTTTCTGATCTATCTTCGGTGTGTCTTTATCATCAACACCGTACGCCCCAAAACAACTACTTACGACCTTGCTTGATGGTTTCACTAGCAAAAGGCTATAAGCAAAAGGCTATACGCGGACACTTATGCATCGGGCATAAACATCAAAAACCGAACCAAGAAGCAAGAAAAGAAAATAACAAAAATGGGGTGAGAGAGAAGAGGCATCGATCCATCTAAAACACCGAAAAGGAGATTGGATCAGTTCTCAAAACTCGTATCGAAAAGACCTGGAAAAGTAGGGCCCGATGTCTTTACTAACAATCATAAAATATCTCTTTGCGCTGATTCTCCAAACCCCAAGAACGCTGGATTAATCAAATCAACCAAATACTCTCTCAAATAAAGCTTGCAAATCCTCCCCAGATCCCAAAGTTGATATCAAAATCTTTCCACTGCCGAATTAATCCATAATCTTACATATCAAATAAGCATAGAAATCTTCCCATAAAATCACATAAACACTCACGGCCGGGGTCAGTAGAGAGGAGGAAGCAAGCCACTAAGGCTCTCGGCCAAGACGAGGAACGGGGACAAAAGAGGCCCACGGCTAAAGTAGGGGACAGCTGCCAAGACCCGTAACCAAAGGCAACCCAAGAGACAACAAGAAAGACTTACGGTTAAGGCAACAAAGGGCCAAGAAAAGAGCTGTCAAAGCTCACGGTTTAAGGCAACAAAGAGCAGCTGCAACAACCCACGTCCAAAGGCCATCCAAAGCACAAGGCCCACGGCTACAGTAACCTAGAGCACCAGGAGGCTCACGGCTAAGGCAAACTCGAATCAACTCTCTACGAGTTTTGATATACATAGGAGAGTACAAAACATCGCCAATCTTTCAAAGTAACAAATTTGCTCCATCTACGATCATTCAAATGATTCAAACTCAACAAGAGGGGATAAATTAAACTCAAGAAATTCCAATGGGTCTCACGGGTAAGGGCCAAAAGGGGAGGCTGATTCAACCACATTACAAACCCACGGCTAGGCACCAAGCAAACATCACATTGCGGCCTCATAAGCTACCAAATCAATCCATCAAAACCAAATATCGGCCTTCGAATGGAGCAACACAGCACATCCAAAACAGGTTCTCGGGTAAGAGTTGAGACCAACAAGAATAAAAAAGAACCAAGCCATCTCTCGAGTAGGGATTAAAACCAGCAAAACCATCTCTCGGGTAGGGACCAAAGACAAGCAAAGCAACCCATTAAAACTCTCGAGTAAGGACAAGTTTTAAGGACTTAATCATGGGCTCTAGAGTAGGAGCTAAAACAAGCAAACCAAGCTCCCAAGTCAAGCCAAAACCGAGCCACAGCTAAGGTTCGAATTCGGGTTACAACAAAAGGATCGAAAACATCTCCACACCCCAAGACATCAAAATATAGAACTAACACATGTTTTAAGCAAGAACAACCATGGAATCCTCCCAAATTAACATAAATCCATTCATCACTTGTATATTTAAGCTAAAACATCCGTAGGATGCCAAAAACAGAGCCCAACAAGGGCCAAAACCGAACCCAATGGTATTAAAATTTAGGCCTCCATAAAGGATAGAGCTCTATTCATTTCACTTCCAAAAAAAAAACAAGACTCCAAACCCAGCCAAAACCAAGCCCAACAAGAACCGAAAGCCAAAACCGCAACAAGAACCAAAAGCCAAAGTCAGGCTCAACAAGATTAAAACAAACCCAAGCAATGATATAAATTCATACTTTAATAGAAATTAAAGTTCCAGCCACCTGTTGGTCAAATCGAGCCATCCAAAGCTAAGAAACAATCTGCATGTCTAAATGTCCCAAGCATGAAATTATTCCAACAAATATTTGAACAGGAGAGGAACTTCACGAGGAGCTAAACCAAGCCCTCAAAGCAAGCTACAACACTTTCCACATTAAACAGATTTTTTTCATAGCATACATTTCAAGCCAGGGAAAGCCACAGGAAGCCAAAACCGAGCCCCCAAACATGCATAAAACAGTAAAATGAACTCCCTATCATTCATGAAAGGCCACGTAACCTCTCCAATATTTCATGCTAAATGAAAATAAGTGAAAAACTTCATAACACTCATCCCAACATGCTTGCAAGAGGAACTAAAAATTATTTCAAAGCCACGTTTCAATCCTCATATTCAAAGTAATAGGGATATGCTACGATTTCATCTCAAGCTAACAGGAGAAAATAAGAACACTTATATCATGTTATGCTTGCACCGTCCTAAGTAATTAATCGAATCTCACCCTTGAAACATGCTCACATTTCCTCCTTCACATGCTCTCTAAAGTGAACATCTAAAAATAATATGAAAGTAAAGTGAACCGGCATGCTGTATCATCCCGACCGAACCAAGTTCAAAGGCTCGGCAGAGAGGAAAAACCGAAAGGAAACAGGGCGCCAAAGAAAAAATGGAAGAAGAGGTACCTCTATAATGCCACAATAAAGCACTGCAACACAAGAATTCACCTCAAAAAAATGTTCTCACAGAAATCTCCTCCTGGAATTCTCCCACAGTCAAAAATTTCAATCCTCCTCTCTTGCAAAAATTTTTTTTTTTCAACAACCCCCAAAAAATTCAAAAGAAACTGTGTTTATAGACAGAGAATAGAGGAGAAGAGAAAGAAGACCACCCCCAACAGTCCACGACACTCGAATCGGGCCAAAGAAAAAAAGACGCGTTCCCTGCTCACAGAAGGCGAAGCCACAAAAACATCTTGGACCGAGCGGTCAGCCCAGTAGCAGCGAGGGAAGCATCGGGAAGAAGAGAAGATTTTGTCATTCAAGTGTACCAGGGAACAAGCTTCTCAGAGTCAAACTACCAGGAAAAGGAAAAACCACAGCCTAAGGAGACTGACATGGCTTCGGGAAGGAGGGCGCGGGCAGAAGAATGTCAGGCAAGGACGAACGAGGTCAACTTTCTCTTGCGCGGAGGAGGAAGAGCTCGGTCGGCTCGAGAACGAGAAAGAGAAAGGGTCAGGCGCGCGAACTGGAGAAGGAAGTGAGGCAGAGCTCGGATATATATATACATATATATATATATATATATATATTAAATTATATTTGATTTATTCGCACGCGGCGACGTAACAAAATGAGTGTCCTCCCCAAGCAAAATTGACGCTCCCGACGTGCCGGTGTAGTCCGTTTTGTCATCCGGGGTCGCTCGGACGACGTCGTCGACAATCGGGTCAAAAAAGCGTTAAAATTCAAATTTTACAAAATTTCGACCTGCGGTCGATCGTTTCAAGAAGTTTAACTCGAGCATTGGACATATAACAGTGCAGATGAAGCGAATTGAGGCAATCGGACGCGCCGACTCTCCGAATTGCGAAGTTTTGTGCGCGGGAGTGCGAATTGTGCAAAAGGTCACCCTAAGGCTCAGGAAGGTCCTATAAGGAATCCCTTTTGGGTTTCCTCGTGTTGGTTTCATCATTCTAAGTGCTAGAAGTTGATACCAGACACGCGAAACTCCAGAAGGGGACGGAAGTGGGTTGAATTTCTATAACAAGGCGGGTCCCATTTCTAAGGTTCTAAGGTAGTCGAAGGGAATTCCCTAAGGCTAGATCCTAAATCCTACGAGAAAGACTAGACCTCACTAAAAATGAGGTCAACAATGAGATGACTTGATTAGTCTACTGTTAGTCATTTCGATGCATTTTCCGAGGTGTTGTGGTTGCATCCTCTTAAAACTAACAATACCTTCTCTAGTGAGCTCCCGTAAAAATTGAAGTTTTAGTTTTGACACGAGCCTGCTGAGCTGGATTCGACACATTTACACCCCTACCTGTGAGAGGTCCAGAGATTATCTGTTGAGCTCGAGCCTCCGGTAAGCTGAAATATAGGGCTCGTCGGAGATTTTCCGAACTAAATCTCAAAAAAAAGGGAAACTGTCCATTCTCTCGTAGCTTGACTTTACTTTTATACAAATAAGAAAAATAATAAAAAAAATATTTAGCACTGTAAATATTCTCATTTATGGTGTCTTGGTGAAAAGACAGTAGTTTGGATGTCAAATTATGATTTTAAAGATGGATGAACCTGCGTCTTTGCAGGTAAGGATGACCATCTCTAGTAGTTATATATCTCTAAGTGGACTAGGATACCCCCTGGGTGGACGAGACGATTTCAACCACTTCAGCATCTGAGCTCAATTCAACATCTTCGGAAGGTGGGCTCGGTTCAGCCATTTCAGCAAGTGGGCTCGGTTCAGCCACATAAGCAATTGGGCTCAGTTCAGTCACTTCAATAAGTGGGCTCATGAATATGAGTAAAAAAATTGTATACCTCTGTATTTGTGCATACAAAAATGAATTATCCGTTGTGAGCAAATTTTTTAAACAGGTTGCATAAATGATTTGACCCAAGATGTCTGTGAATACAATCGGATCCAAATAATATATAGATGAGAGAAGGAAACAACTAGAGTAGCAAGTATCTGTATTAAAAAGAAAATAGAATAACAAAAGATAATATATATTTCTAATACAAATAAATAGCATAAGTGATAATATAGATTAGTAACTTGTGAAAATAATTCATTCTTAACTAAGAGTTCCTAGGACAAAGAGATGCAAATAATTTTAAGAAAAAAATGTCATAAAAATATGGGGGGTGCGAGCACAATTTTTTTTTTATAATATATGCACCAAATGTTAAGCAAAAAATAAGTTAACAAAAATGGCAAAAAACAAGTTGAGTTTAAAATCAAGGATGTTAAGATTGATGTGTGATTCTCACTCAAACTAAACTCATCAACGAGCTCACAAGTTAGGCATATTGAGCACGAGCCCGGGCTCTCCAACATAGATATCACTTGTATATCAATCAAGCTCAAGCTTGAGCTTAGCATGGCCCCACATGCTTGTCGAGATACCGTGGTTGTGAAATGTGAAGCTATAAAGAGGATACAGGATGATGAGAATTTCAGAAATAAAAAAATACTCTATGAAGGACAATGGAATACAACAAACAAAACAAAATAAATAATTAAAATATTCATATATTAAAATTGTGGCGCTTCTTCAAACAATACTGGAATTAAAAGAACAATAATTGTGGCTAACCTGAAGATTCCTAACTTGAAAGGGACAGCCTGCGGGTATAAATACAGCCTCCCCAACATACTGTTGGAATGTCCAAGGCTCTATATCTAAAAATTGTCCAAAAAATGGTCAATACTTGATGCAGAGGAACATTTAGAAAAAAGAAAAAAATTAAAAAAGAACGGTAGCATTTTACAAACAAACCACCTAATTCCTATTTATTTACATATCTAACACCTAAACTTTAGGTTTTACATTTCTGCCACGCAAAATGTTCACATCGCATAAAAAAATACTACTATTTTAACCTTTTTTAAGAAAGGCAATAAACCTTTTTATGCATTAGGTAAAGTAGCATGTATGTAAAAATTGAAGTTTTGGTGTCAGAATTGTAAATACATAAGAATTGAGAGGTATGTATGCAAATTTTCCAAAATAAAATTGCATCCATCAGACACTAAATAATAAGTTGCGAATCTGTACATTATGATACAGATTGCCATTTACACTAACGAAGTACATGTAATGGTTGACAGATACTCACTGAATTCATCCTTCAATTTTCTTTTGGCTTCATTGTTTAGGTAGAGAGCTTGTTCATAGACAGGAAGGGAAACCTGGATGAACAATTGTTTTTAGCTCAAAGGTAATGATTAAAACTACAGGCATTTACAGAAATAGCACAAAATTCTTATGTATTAACATATCTAGCAACAAAACTTTCATTTTTACACAAACAGCACTCAAATCTTTACTATCAGATAAAAAATAGTACTATTATCTCTTTACAAAAGTGATATATATTGTCATGCATAAATTTAAAATACCAAAGTGCCACGTATATAAATATCAAGTACAGTTGTGAGATATGGAAATATATAAAAAATGTGTACTACTTGTGTAAAAAACAAAAATTATGTAAATACATAAGAATTTTGCGAATTTAAACGATAAAACTGGCAAACTCACAGAATTTGCGAATTTGTCCGAGTGAAGTTCGAAAAATTCATTCAACTTTGGAACATCTTGCCGACGGAAAATATCCCAAACAGTTCCAGGTTTGTCATAATTTTTTGCAGGATTTCCGGTTAAAAAGACAGATTCAGGTCTTCTCTTTTCCAAGAAAGTTGCTCCAGTATCAGAGTAGGATTGGTGATCTGCCTCTCCTGTAAATTCGTCCAAATCCATGCATCCATCGGAATTCATCGAAGCTTTATCATGCCTCTTACCCATAGGCTTCTGAAAACCTTCAGCATCAGGCTCAGCAGTGTGCATTAAAAGACAAGCCTGGTTCCATTCAGAGGATATTAAAATGGGTTAAGATAACTGTTTCACATAAATCTAAACAAAAATCCAAACCAAATATAAATATACAGAAGAGAAGAAATCATGACGTTGACTAATTTAACAATTCAGAAATCTTTAGCTCATGCAAGTAACATTTCACGTCCTTTTGCTAGAGTTCATGCAGAAGAATAAATGCCGCCGAAGGTGACAATTTTTTAAGATAACATGGAAAAATAGCAGGCATTAGACATGAAAAAGATATAATAGTGCAGGAAAAGGAGACGTTATAAAATATAAATCGCAAACAAGTAAAGTGTTAAAATAGTCCCCTGACTATTGACAATGGGTTATTTTAATCCCCTCGTTCATAAAAAGGTACTAAATTAGTCCCCATACTTTTTTAATGGGGTCTAAAATAGTCCATTGGAGACTTTTACAAACTTTAGGACTAAAATGACCACTCTAAAGAGTCAGGAGACCTTTTTGACCCTTCTCATTTGCCAACTCTACTTCAAGAGAAATTTTATGTGATTAGTGCTTCACACCCCTTTCCCTTCTGAATTTGCAGCACAAAAAGCATGCAATTTCACGCCAAGTGGCAGGGCATCAAGAAATCATGCCACAATAATGCAGCGTGCAGATACACACAAACTTGATGTTTAGGGTGTGCAAAAGAGAGATATTCAGCTTCTGTCCTGAAGCACGCAAGCTTCAAATCACCTTACAACAAAAACAAGTTCCAGCCATTTACCAGATCCGATAATCATAAGGCCACCCAAATGTTTCATATCATAGTAAAAATACCACTGTTTAATTTCTCAAAAGTGGAAAACATATTTTCGTGCAGACGTAACGTTGGCATACGTTTAAAAATTAAATTTTAAGTACTAAATACGTATATACATAATAATTGAGTGGTATATATATAAATCTTCCTAATCATAAAAGGTTCTATGCAGTTTGATACAAGTGAAGGGTAACACAAATGTTGGGCTCCATATGAATCTGATCCAATTAAAAGGCCCTAGAGATAGAGTAACAGCAAAATTTTTGGTAGTCACAGAAGCTTGGTTAACTAGTCATCAAAATTAGGTATATTTCCTGCATTGGCATGAACACAAAAGTTCGTAATCATGACTTAGACTTGAGTGGGTCTGCCCGTTCATCAAAATGTGCATTAATGAAGTCCCAAGAAGAAGGATGCGGCTACGATAAGAATTCCCTTATTTAGTGCAAGAAAGTTTGATATCATTTCATGAGCAAGAGATGCGTTTCTTCTTATTCTACACCAACATTTTCAGTTCCGCTGGTTTCGATTAAAGCTGACCCGAAACTAACTAATATTTCTCCAGTGGTTTCAATTAAAACTGACCAAAATTGACCGAAACTAATTAATATTTCTCCGGTGGTTTCAATCAAAACTGACCTGAAGCTAAAGAATATTTGGGAAATTTACATGCATACCACACAATTCATAAGTATTTGCATATCTAACACCCAAAGCTTGACAGTTGCACTAATAAAACCTTGGTTTCATAAGCATATGCCTGAAAAGGTGTATTTCACTTCTAAGAAGGTAGTGATGGTAAAATTTTTGACGTGAAGTCAAAGATTTGAGCGGTATGCATGTAAATATAAACTTTAAGGTGTTTAGATATGTAAAAACATAAGAATTGTGTGGCATGTATGTATATACCCCTTAATATTATTGATTTAGACCGATATCAGCAGATTTGGTAGAAACTCAATACTTTCGAGTGAAACTCTAAGGTTGTGTGTTTTGAAACTGAGTTTCACTAAAATTATTAAGAAATCTTCAAATTTCTGCTAGAAATCTAATATTAGCTTCCTAAGCGCAAAAATAGTTCCCCTCCCTCCAAAAATATTTGAAATATCAGCAATCTATCTCTGATTCACATGGTTTTTATATGGCCTAATTAAAAAAACAAATAGTGCATTATGATGAAAAGCAAGGTTGCAGAGCAGAGAAGCTAATAACATATTTTGGATCTGCTGACAAACAAAGTTATTTTCCAATAATAATTTCCATTTTACATTCAATAAATCAGTTTACGGTTGACCTTCAAATAAATCCCACTGCTCAATTTGATCAAAGACAAAAAAAAAGACAAGCAACTGACTCATCGTTGTGCATGACCAGATTAAACCACAATGACTAAAATAAACAGCACTCAACCATTGTCTTCGTATCACAGCTATTCTTTCCAACAACCAGTCACCATGAAGAATATATTAAAACAGAACAATCAAGAAAAATGAGAGGGGAACTAGCTCTTAATCCATAGAGAGAATTAACAATGACACTTAGAAGAGCACATTACAGTTAATGCAACACATCATTAATTTCTAGAAGAATAGAAGGATGAAGAAGTAGTGCATATTTAGCTATTGAAGAATCTGTTAATGATATTTCCAAATCTAATTTATTTGCCTTGGCTCATTCAAGCGTATCTGATCAACACAGCTCTCAAGGTTGACAAGTTCCCAACCCTAATTAACGTTATCTACTAGGACAAATTAAACAGAATAAATTAGGAAAAAGACCTTCTGATTAGGAAGGGCACCAAAATCATAAAAAGATACCACATCATGAGTAGACAAGTAGGACGCAACAAGAACATGCACAAACACCTAAAATACAAAATTGTCAATCTTAATGTATCATATATTGAATAAATTGCCTAGCTTGATCACATTAACTTCAAGTATATATCTCTCATAAAAAACAAAAAAAAAAGTGAACAGATTTTTTGAAATATGAGCAAGGTCCTTTGGCAAAATACAAATATCACAATTAGAATATTGTTTGTGATCATTTATACGAAAATCATATACACTTACTAGTAATAAATACAAAGTTAGTCCACATTTAAAACTTACAATTCAATAAATTCAAATCATGATATCTAAAAGGTCAAATACTTCTATATTTTTTTCAGTAAAAATAACTCAGTGACTTACCTCGTCCTATTACAAACTAATAAATACTTTACAGAAAAAAATTATATGATAGTAAAGCGAGAAAGGGAACAAATTCTGTATAGGAAACATACCATGTCGCTCATGTTAATCTGAAGTTTGGTGACAGGATCTCCTCTGCCAAGCTCCTTAGATGTACCATAAGTAATGAGAATTTTGGGCACTGCTTCTGACTGTAGAGTATCATGTGGCAGCTTAGAGACAAGATTAAGAAGACCCCATTTGGAGTGAATAAATTCAACCAATGGAAAATTGCTAAGAAATTCAGGTCTATGGCATAATAAAAACTCTTCCAAGGCACTTGGAGGGGGCCAATCTTTCAGCTTCAACATTTTTGGCCAGCCACTTTCATCTCTCTGTCCTTTCGAGTATCCTTTGATGAACTGAGAAAGTTCAATGTCAACCTGCAAAAAGAAAAAATAAATAAATAATAATAATCCTTAAACTAACAGCCTAAAATCAAGCAATATTGTCATTATGAGCATCATCATCAGCATTATTTCAATAACCTGAGGTTAGTTATATGAACTATTAAGTAAACAAAAGTTTGCGTAAAGGATTCATAAACTGTCTTTCCTCCTACATTTCTAGCAAATAAATTCCTAGAAATGTAGGAGAAAAGACAGTACAAAAATCTCATAAAGACAAAAGGAATGTATTCTTAATGATATGCAAGAAAAAGGTCAAAATAGCCTTTAAGCTATCTATAGGGGATCCTTTTACTCCCAGACTATTTAGTCACTTGACTCCTTCAATTTGATTCAAAATACTATTTTTTTATCATATTTCAGGAGTCAAAGGCCTAAATTGAACAGAATAGATAGTTTGGAACTAAAATGAACCCCGTGAGATTAGTCCATAACCAACCTCATGTGCAGCACATGCTTTTGTTCTGGCTTAAGATCTTACTACAATCAATGTGAAATTTAAGCCTCGAATAAAATAGTCAAATTAATCCCATAAAAAACCGAAACATCAAGAAGTTTATAATGGATAGCATTTTGGGAAAGAAGCAATGTAGACTTTGTAAGTGAACTGAAAATAAGAATGTGATTTCCAAGCCATGTGTGATATAAAAATAAACTAGAAGGCCTGTGGAAAACTGCATATCAGAACAAATCCAAGATGGTTAGGATAAGACATTAAAACTAGAATAACAAAATAAATTTGCAATATCTATAATTAAATGAGCTGAAAAGGACCATTGATATTTAGAAAAGAAAATTCTTCATCAAGAAGTCCAATCTATAAGTCGTTTAAGAATGTATCACATGAGCTCAAAATGTTCGAAAAAATAGACAACAATCTGCATAGAATGTCAATTTAAAGTTGTCAGGTGATCAGTTCTTCTAAGCATGTCTTCAAAGCTATTCACCGAGTTGTTTGCATATTTACATGTAAATCTAAGTAAATTTTTAGATTTACACTCCAAAAAATAATGCTGACATTATCAAAGTCATTTCACAGCTTAGAAGAACCAATAAATCCAGTAAAAATAAATAGACCCATGAAATCAAAATGTCAACATGTTACAATAGTCGAATAAAGTAAAATTCTAACTTATGCTAAGTACCTCTGACTGGCTTAGATAATCAATAGCCTTCACAATGACATCATTTTCATTTCTCTCTTCATCTAAAGTTTCTCGAACTCCCTTCCAGATATCTATAGGCTCCCAACCGGATGCCAATGAACGTTCGAGCACATTTTTTACAATAACCGGTTGACCTTTGACCCAAAACTTATGAAAACGATTGATGCCTTCTAGCTTAATATCCTCTGATGTGGGATAATACAAGTAATTATCACTGTTATCATCTCTGTAAGAACACTTCAAGAGATATGTTTGAATTGATCCCTTCAATCTGGAATAAGTTCCTCTACAGCAAGAAGCACATCTATCAGGGCCATGTAAATCAGATCCTATACACCCATTCACCATTTCCTCCGCATTTTTTAACAGCTTTCCAGTCCAGTTTATTTTGAGAATTCGTCTTAAAATTAGCTTTGTAAATCCACAACCACCAGCATCATCAGGACCACAAGGAATGCTTCCATCATTGTTCACCTTCCACTTGGAAAACAAATTTGTAAAATCTAAAACATCCACATTAGCTGATCGAGGCGTTAATTTTTCGTTACTAGTTCTATCAGAAGTAGGTTCTCCTTCGTCATTAACTGGGGACGAATTTCGAATATCACGGCAGCACGTGAGACAAAGATCATACATACATTGACTACAATGACGATGATAATCAAAAATTGGAACTTTGCAAAGATCACTGCACAAAAATAAATCATTTATAACAAAAGAGATGCCAATTGACAGATTTTTAAAAAAAAAAGGTAGGGCTTTCGAAAACAATACCAACGCATCTGCTCATCTGCATTTATTTTTTCTCTAGGAATATCAGCTTTTATTCCTGAGTTAAAGCTTGAGTCATAAATTTCACCATACAGAAAAAAAAAATAATAATAATAAAATAAAAAGAAGTTACATATATACCACTCAATCCTATGTATTTACTTGTCTAATATGGCATGAAAAGGAGATTTTCACTTTTTAAAATTTAAAATAGTGGTATTTTTATTTGAGTGGTGTAGATGTAAAAAAGAAAAGTTTAGGTGTTGGATATGTAAATACATAGGAATTGGGTGGTATGTATGTATATCCCCGTTCACAACAAAAGAAAGACGAATACCATATAATCTTTTTTCCATTGATATCTCAAAACACTGCTCAGAATATATCTGCTTAAGAACTGGAAGTATGAAAGCCAAAAGGCTGTGGAGATATCTCAACCTATCTATTGCAGCTATGCCTTCAACCTTTGCCTGAAAATCAATTTTTTTTGTTCGTTCTATCAGTTATGAACCAGTCCTACTTCTTCGAGAAGTAAAATACATAGAATTAATTCAATAAGCTGGAGAGAAAAACTGGTCGAATACCTTAATTAGGTTATCTCCACGCAAACAGACCCTGCAATTACAGATACCACGACATGCTGGGCATGCTTTTTGAATATCTTCCATGGGTATCTCAGCATACCTAAATGAAGACCATAAAAAAGTAGAAGCATAGACGAAATCCAAACAAGTTTCATGAAAAAATGGATAGAAAAAATCAGCATGGGCATCAAAGTTAAGCATTACCATTTTAAGATGCAGGCATCACAATATCCTTTCCTATCACAGCTTGTGCACCATACCACGTTCGTCCTGTACTTCCGGTGACAGTGATGACAAGTGATCCCTTCAATATCACCCGAAGAATCAGAACTTTTCCCAGAAAAATCCTGCCAACCAAATGCGAACTTCATCACCATGGGAACTCATTATGCTAATCATGAACTAAAATTCAATAAATTCGGGTAAAAATTCCTCACCCCTACACCATTCCCACTAAAATTCTTCATCTCCTTGCTTGAAGGACGACTGTAGTAAACCCCCTGAACCCTACTACCATCCGCCTGCACTGCATCTTTTTGCAGCAAATCATCACGACTCGGCGAACCTCGTCGAACTCCACGGCTCTTAGCAAGCCTCTCCTTGTGCTTCTTTAAACTAGGCATCGAAACCGACTCTCCAGCAGGGTTCACAGGAGAAACGGACGACCTAGACATCTCCCGTTCCCGGCGCCGGCTTTCCTGATAGATGTCGGAATTGTCCAGAGACTTGCGCTTGGAGGCCTTCCTCATGGTTGCCCTCATGGCAGAGTTCATCGCCCGGCGCTTCGCTTGGATGTAATGCTTCTCACACACGGTCTTGTCAGGCATCGACAGCGCACTGCAGCGCCACTGCTTCCCATCCGACCGCTTGCAACGAAGGTCCTCCGGTATCCCCGCATTGTCTTCCATCAATCCTTCACACAGAAGCCCGCTGCCGTTGGGGAGTCAATAGAATCGCATCAGAAACCCTAGCCAATTGTTTATCCGGCCAATCGGTGAGTCTGCGGAAGGGATCGAAGAACGGCGAAGAGGAAGAGGATGAGGAAGGGAATTTCTAGGTTTTCGGGAAGGTGGAGGCGGGCGATTCTGTCGTGGTAAAGGAGGGAAGGAAGAAGAGAGAGAAGACATGGAAGGTTGGGATAAGAGATAGAGAGAGAGAGAGAGTCAAAATTATAAATAGTAAGTGTCGAAGATTGGAATATTTGCTTCAGACCCAATTGCGGTTAGCTGAGGGACGACAGAAGAAGGAGAAAACGGTTCGATGCAAAATAAAATTACGAATATACCCATATTTTTATATAATTTTTTTATTGAGTTTTTGTTTTTTGAGATATGAAATAATTATTTAACAAAAAAAAAACAAATGAGATTTAAAAATTAGCAAGTGATGTTCTTATAATATTTAGATGATGTTAATGTATCTGATATCAATTTATAAATGCATCTCAAAATAATAAAATATTTATTCATATACTTAAAAAGTGATATGAAATGAAATAATGAAAATTTACACAATGTCTCTCACTTTCGGATTTCTATGTGTTTACATAAAAGGTTCTATGTATTTCATTTTTTTTTAATTAAAATGGTGGAATATTTCAGAATAAATATAAAAATAAATTTACCTTTTAGATGTGTAAATAAAATGTAAATGCCCTAAATTGATGTTATTAAATAATAAATAAATAAATTTGGTAAATTAAGAAATTTAGAGATAAAGTAAATAATATATATATATATATATATATAATTAATAATCTACTTCAAAGAATGAAATGTGTTGGATCAGAGAGTCTTTTGTGAACATGCTTCTAGAGTTAGAGCCGAGTGAATAAGAGAAAAAGAGCAGAGTGAGTCAAGAATTTACTGTTGAGAGACCAGTAGAGAGATCCCCATTATTTGTACATTTATCTCTTATTTATAGAAGCGTATTTTATACAAATATAGGAAGTAATTGTTCATAATATGATTAATGTTCTAATTAATTATATGAACTTTATACCATATCCGTATTAAAATTTGAATTTTATCATAGTAGTAATATGCGAGCTGACCTGTTTTCGTTTTGTTGATTGAGTTGAACGGTCGATTGGTGACTGTGACTTCTGAAGTGCGTGCGATCGAGGCGCTCAGTTGTTTGACGATCTCGCTCTCCCTAGATCGGTCGATCAATTGCAGTCGAGTGAGTTGTGGCTCGTTTGCCGTTAAACTCAAGTTTTACAGAACATGTGTCACGCATGCCTGGTAGGTTCACCCGGATCTCCCTATCTCGCAAGTTCTTGGGTGGATTTTGTCGCTTCCTATGTGAGGTATCTGTGAAGACTCGTTGTTGGGATGATTTACGCCTCACTCTCAGCGAATCTCGCCACTACCAAGGGGGAACCATTTCCAAAGTTTAGATATATCTGGTGTATACGTATTATCTCCCCGAGTTTCTCTGCTCCTTGATAGCGACAACTGCATTAACGACAAATAAATTTGTTAATTAACCGTTAGCGTTAAAATTGTGAATTGATTGACCATTTGACTTCCCCTGGGATTCATTGCGCCATGTGCTCTCTAAATGGACATGAACTGAGTCTTGTATCATTTGTCGTCAGTATCCTTTTTTCATAGTTGAAAAGCGTTATAGTCGACGGTTCGAACCGAAACGTTGTGGATTCTCTGAGGTTGGTGAAGGCGAGGTTTCAGATCGTCTGCTCCATAAAGAGGAAAAAAGTGGTGACGAAGGAAAAACATGAGAGGACCGAGCCAAATTTGGTCGACGTAATCGACTCATCTGATGATGATGATGAAGGTCAGACATTGAGTAGGCTTCACCAAGAGGTTTTGGAGTCAGTTATGAACTTGAACGTTGAGAGTCAGTTGATCTTTCCGACCGAGGCGAGCAAAAAGGTGCTGGAAGGAGCAGTTGTCTCGATCCTTCCTCAATTGTTGCCACAGGAAAGCAGGGGGACCACGACACAAGAAGGAGAGAGGGCCTTTAAGGCTCTCTCTTCTTTAGAAAGATTCATAAACAAACTGGACATGTCGGAGGATCATCAGGATGACGGGACAACGAACGGTGTCCCATAATCCACTCCTGCTATAGTGGTCGGTCCACAAGTCATAGATGTTGGGCTTCTGTAGTTGTCGACCCTAGCAGTTCATCAGCTACATGAACACTTGCTTGTGATAGATCTCCAACTAGCACGACCAGCGGGGGGAGGGACATCCCTTGAATCACGAAGCAGCAGACATGTGAGATCGGACTGTTAGTGACATCGGTCGACTCTACTGAGCGACTTACTGGGGGTTCAACTGCATATCTTGTGCAGGAGTTGTCCACTAGTCTGGATATTGAAGTAGCAGCTCTGCGGACAGAGCTTGCTCTTCAAGGTGGGCTGACCGAGGTGTTGCGCTATCGAAGGTACTACGCGAGTTTTCTGATCTTGTGAGACTGGGAAGCTGATCAGGTGTATCAGATTATGTTAGGTGGAGAGTTGGTTCTCCAGAAGTTGAGGGGGCATGTCCCCTCCAAGGCCTTGGGGGTCCATTTTATAAAACACTTTGTTTTAGGTTTGTAATAATGATATTCACAATAAAATTACATTTTGATAAATTTTGAAAGGGGACACTTCTTTTATCTTTACGCGATTTTAGTCTTCTTTCTTTTCCTTCTCTTTTCTCTTATCCCCTCGTCCCGCGACTGCTTTTATTTTTGGCTTGTGAGATGTCCCCCAAAGACTCCCCTACTATGTTTGGTTCTACAAAGGGCACTGGACCTTCGCTGTTGATGGAGAATGAGGTGAGGGAGCTGTAGGGGAGGAATGTTCTTGATGACAACATTAGTCTTCAGAAGTTTTCCAAGTCAACGTGAGTGACAGATCTTTTAGGTAATGACCTGGTCTTATATCGAGACTAGTTTATCTGTTTACCCCAGTTTTACAAGCTCTATAGTGCCTTCACTACGTACGAGGTTATCCTGGCGCAAGTGATGTCGAACTCCATAACCACAATAATGATTTTCATTCATTTCTATCATCGGGAGAATCTTGAGTGGTCGATCAACCTCTTTAGATAATTTTTTTATCATTTAAGGTTGATAAGGAGGGCTACGCCATGTTTTCAATGGGTAAGGAACTCTACTTGGTGGAAGTGAAGAATAAAATAAAGGACTGGAAGAAGAAGTTCTTGGTTTGTTCCTGTTCTGGTGCCTGAGGAATCCGAGTCGAGCTATCAAGGTGTATGGTGTCCAAATCGAGGTCTCTTCAAGAGAGCATGACAGTTGCCCTGGAGATGTTGACTGGTCGTCACCTCTCAATTCCACGATACACTATCAAGGTGACGAAAATCTGTGTGTTGACCGGTAAAATGATGGGTGAGAAGTGGCATGACTCGGACATTGTAGAGGAGGTCAGGGTGAAAACGGTGAATGAAAAACTGGTTGTCAAGAGTAAGAAGCAGAAACATCTCATGGAATCAGGTAATTTGGCAGGGAATTAGTACATGTCCCCTCCTAGCATGGCCTCGAGATACCTCATTTTGTGTATGTTCATGGTGTTGTTGTTTAATATAGATTGACTGGTAAGGTTGTTGTTATTGCCTGAAAATGTGCTTCTTATTCTGTTGATGTAGGGGAAGGAGATAGGATAGCTTCCATCTTTGAGAGAATTCCAGACGAGATCGCTACCGTCGACCCTTCATCTTCGAGAGAAAGTACACTATTTGGCATGTTGTCGGGTGTCAACATTCCACCAAACTCAAGAGCTAAGGCTCTGTTCTACATCGCTTTGTCTAGGAAAGACAAAGCTAGTCAGACCACTCCCATAGCTTCGTCCAATTCCTCATTGGGAGCATCCACCTCATCTTCCGACAATCAGGCCTCGTCCTCCCCTAAAAGGGCAGTGACACGTCAGCGCGGGAAAGATTCTACGGAGGATAAAGAGTTCCCATGTACTCCTCCCTTGAAGAGGAGCAAGGAGGTTTTCAAGTGGGAGTCAATGAAAAGTTTGACCTGTTAGACCGGTTCTTGAACTGGTTCATGACGATAAAGGAGAGCATGGATCTGCCCTTGGCCTTGTTGGATCTTCTGTGGTCTAGGGAGCTTGACCGTAACTTGGGGAATTTTTGTTGTTTGGACCTTCTCCGGAACACTATTTTGTGGTAGCTAATAGTGGCTCAAAGCTTCCCATTTTTAGGGTTGGTCATGCTTGAGCTGGAAGAATATTTGGATGGAGCTCGAAAGAAAGAGGCCTCACTTCAGGTCGACATAAAGAGGCTCCGAGACGATCAAAACCTCCTACAGGTTAGGTTTGATGAATCCCTAAGCAACATAGTGGCCTTGAAATAGAAGGATGTCGAGCTGGACAAGAAGGTTGCCTCATGGATTGCTAGAGAGAAGTATAAGGATGTTTTGGTGGGCGAGCTTAAGTGCGACGTGAACTTTTCTACCCAACAATACATCCATCAAGGCTTGATTGACCCAGAGTACTCCAACTTGGATGAGTTTTTTAACTTGTCCCCTGGTAAATCGAATGAAGCCTCCGAAGGAGAGGGCAGTTGTGGTGTTGATGAGGGATCGACTACCCATTAAAGACCATGCCAACAAGAGAACAACCTTTTCCTCTTTTTTTTTTTCATTTAGCTTGAATCTTGTTACTGTTGCATGAAAAGACTTGTAATTCTTTCCATATTAATGAAATGAAACATTTTGCCTTTTCGTGATCACTTTTTCCACTCGGGCTTGTTATAATTTTTTTTTGTTTTACCAGAGACATTGCCCTTTGGAGAGAATTGCTCTCGGGCTAGCCGGTGGGTTCAAGAAATCAATTTTATTATAGAGCTTTGGTTGGTTGACTCTTATTTTTTCTGTTTGCTTATGTCGGTCTATTTTTTTAGTAGATACATGTCCCGATTGATTTCTCTTCCTGGCGTGGATCTTGTTGTTACCTAAGAGAGTGAAGACCAAGGTTTTTTGGATGACTTTTGCACCCCTTTTACAGATCTTGTTGCTAGCAAGGAGAGAGTCATCTCTAAATAATCTAGTGTTCAAACTCCCATATGCTCGTGACCGAAAGGTATTGAAGTTTCCCGACTAATTATTGGGCAACCAAACGATTTCCCTAGAATTGTTGGGTTTCTTAGTGATTTTTTTGGATCTCCAGGAACTTACTCCAATTTTGTCCGCTCGTTTGTGTCTTTATCCCTTTGTCGAGTTCCAGGTACATATCTTGTCGTCAC